TCTTATGCTTATAATTCTACTTGTACGCATTTAAATTTCCATTTCCATATCCATTTCCATTTCCATTTCCATTTAATTTTACTTTTACATTTACGTTTAGATCTATATTTACATTTATATATACATATACATATACATATACATATATATACACATACACATATACATGTACATGTACATGTGCATATACATATACACATATATATACATAAACATATACTTATACATATACTTATACATATACATATACTTATACATATACATATACATATACATATACATATACATATACATATACATATACATATACATATACATATACATATACATATACATATACTTATACCTATACTTATACCTATACCTGCACATATACACATACATATACATATACATATACATATGAATATACATATATTTACTTATACATTATAGCGATAGTACTGGCATACGAATTCAACACGTTCCCTGAATTGTCGAAAATCCTGTTTTTAGTACTTGCACATACATACGAATACAGCACGTTCCTTCTTTTTTCATGCAGACCGTTGATTTATGGTGTTAGTCACAACTCGTCCCTTTTATTGTTGTACAGGCCGTTAATAAATGGTGTTAGTATTTACACATAAGTATACAACCCGTGCCTTCTATTATCATACAGGCTCTCGACAAGGAATACAGTCTCTGGGATCGCTTCGATGTCCAAGGACCAATGACGCTGAAGGAGTTCTTAGACCACTATAAGAAGGAGACTAAGCTAGACATCACCATGATGAGTTGCGGTGTCAGTATGATCTACTCGTTCTTTATGAACGCGGCCAAACGCAAGGAGAGACTCGGCATGGAGTACGTATACGTGTCTATCATATGTATATGTGTATGTATGTATATTTTCACTTGCATCTAATAGATGTTTATATATATATATATATATATATATATGTTTATATACATACATAGATGTATATGTACAGAGTGTCATTTCGCAGTTCAATAGCAGAATCGGCATACACATTGACTCGTACTAATGGTGCTCAATTCGCCTGGCACGAATCAGTCTTCAACAGGTAGTACAACATACTAACCAGAGGCGTTTTTGACAGCATATTGCTGATTGTATTTAACTACACGTTCAATGCTTGACAATGACATACGCTCCAATGTGTTAACGGTAGAGAGTGTTTATCCCGCACTCTTAGTACGGGCGCCTGTGACACACGGAACACGTCTGAATGCAGTAGAATGTATGTATTACTCAGTCTTAATCATGCGTGCCTGTGACAGCAAAAGGTCTGCAACGGTAGTACATACCCAAATGGTTCGTAACTCACTCTGACTGTGTTACTTGCCTATTACATAACAGTCTTCAGAAGGTAGTAGAGGAGATGAACAAGAAGCCTCTACCAGCACACCAGGAAGCGCTAGTGTTCGAGGTCTGCGTACAGGACGAGAATGACGAGGACAACGATGACATAGAAGTGCCATACATCCGCTACACGCTCAATTGAAGCACTAGATAATCAATATACGCTGGGACGTGATAGAATAAATATTATCCGCTGACGTTTTGTACACCGGAGTGGTGTTTGCACATTGTTATGTTGTTTTCTGTTGTTTTCTGATTAGTTCATCCACTGGATGCTGAAATTCAGTACTAAAATAAAGCACAAACAACCAATATACACTTCGAGATGTGTGCGAGATACGCTTATGTTAACCACATACTCTTGAGTCTAGAACATGGTTGAATGAGAATTAACCGCCTAAGCCATGTACACCCGGAATAAAAACGTAGATAACTCCTTTATCATCAACGTCTGCTACACACTCACAATGGTATACACTATGGGAGTGCGATCCTCGGAGGTTGTGGTTACTTCATAACATATTTACTGCAGACTCGTACGCCCGGAATATACTTTTGGTACATTCTTGCGTGAATAGTCAGGTCTGCACATCCGGTGTATATCATATGGAGGATTGAATAGCCAGTATACGCTTCAGGGTAGTATGTGGCATAGACCCCTTCTGTCGACACCTTTGGAGAACAATCGAATGAAATTATATGTCTGTTTTTACTGTGTTTTCTGGCCGTTGGTTCTCTATATAAATAAGGCAACAACCAAACAACCAGCCAGTTAATACTTTAGTGTGTGTGCGAGGCATGTTCGTATGAAATGCATACTCTGAGGAAAGATTAATTTCAGACACGTGCACCGAGGTCTCTATCCAGGATTTTGCAGTGCATTTCTATACTTTCACGGTATATCCTCTGTGCGTCCAAATCAAGCACCTCAAACAAGCACTGTCAAATCAAGCATTCAAAAGCCAGTATACGCGTCAGGCTGTGTGCGAGGCATGTTCACGTTGAATAATATCCGCTGAAATCTTCTGCACCTGGGGTATGTCACTATTACTTCATTTTCCTAGCTGAACGGGTGTGCAATATTACACTCGGAATAAGCACTAAATAGCCTATACTACATGGTGCGTGTGAGATACGACTGTCATATATATGCTCCAGGGAATAGTCGGGCGGAATAATATCCGCCCCTGTCTCAGGCATCCAGTAAATAGTAAGCGTTAAATACGATCTTAATACTGGGTGGTGTATCGGATCACTCAAGCATTGAAACTGAAGCCTTTCTCTAGAGCATACTATGCTCATATTCCCACTTTACTTTCGTACCATTCTCTAACGTACCGGTTTTAAAGTGGGATCGTCTCACCGATCTCTAGCATTATTTGAGAGAATCGGATAGGCGAAACAGTCCAAATATACACATAAGCAAGTACCACACAGCACAAATGAATCCATACTACATAACTACATAAGTGTCCACCTGGGCGTCCATTTGTATAAATATATACTCGTCGCTAAACATTTTGTTGGAAGTGTTGACTGTCAACTGGAGAATTTGCCACACAGTGCGAGTGACTGATTCAAGTCGACCATCGAGTGTAGGTATTGCAGGTCGTATACCACATCTACACACGAGTTCGGACACTACAAACATGAAACAAATCTTGAACGACCGACAAGTCGCTAAATCGACATAACAGGCAAAGGTCTTCATACGCTGCAAATCATAGGGCTTCTCCCAAACCTTCGCATCTAGAACCAAACGGCAAGCGCGCTGGCGTGCCATAGCACGCTATTAATATAAATAGTCAGGGCTAGGTTACATACCTTCGGCTAAGTAAACACAAGCCTGTTAGAAGGACGCTACACGTCCATCCGACTATACTCAAGTATACACGAGTTGATACTATCGTCACTATTGCCCCCAGTCAAGTGGTGGCAATGAATTACAAACAGAAGTGATAACAATAGCGTTCCGCTTTATTCACGAAGATGTAGGCTAATAATTGTCGATATATGCACACTGATAACCACCCACTTCCTATCGAGAGCATTGATCTACGTAGCGCTCAACATCTAGGCACTAACTTAGTCTGCGTAAAAGCTTCAACTGAGCATGTGAGGTAGTGACATGGTCGTAGATCGGTGCTTTATAAAGTGTTCCGACCTTTTACTGTAACTTATGCTGCATTGTACTACTACGCTGGCGCTTCAACGCACGGTTAATTTTTTTGATAGTATTCGATGTATATAATTATTAGATACATTTCTTAAATGATAGGGTGGTCTTAAAAAAGACCAGGTATTGTGTTGTGAGATTGTCGTTGATATACGTTGTCTGCAGTCAGGCTTACCTAGACGACGAACCAAACGGAAACGGCTGGAAGGTGTTTTGTATCCAATTAACCTCCGAATCCGTATAGAGTGCGGCCTTGACGCTTAAGTGCGTAGACGACATCCATAGCAGTCACAGTCTTGCGCTTGGCATGCTCGGTGTAGGTAACGGCGTCACGGATGATGTTCTCAAGGAATACCTTTAACACACCACGGGTCTCTTCGTAGATAAGACCAGAGATACGCTTGACACCTCCACGGCGTGCTAGACGACGAATAGCGGGCTTGGTAATACCCTGGATGTTATCACGTAAGATTTTACGATGGCGCTTGGCACCGCCCTTTCCCAGTCCCTTTCCTCCCTTTCCTCTGCCAGTCATAATGAGTATTTATCGGTTGATTTGCACAAAAAAGTGATGCTGTAAAGTCTACGTGGTTTCGATATTTATATGATTAGATCGAATTTATATTAACTTTTCGTCATGTTCGCACGTCTGACACTCTGACTGTCTGTTTCCACTTTCGGCTTCCCCAGGGGGCACCGAATTTCTGAAACCGTTTGCTGATTATGGGTCACTACTATTGGAGTAAAAAAGTATAAAATACAGCTTGTCTCATATTTGATAAATGTCGTTTATTTCGCACAACTCGAACTATCAAATAGTTTGTAAAAAATATTAAAAGACAAATAAAGGGCAATTATTAATATAAAATGACATTTAACTCTATTAAATTATTTCAGACTTTGCGTACATAGAGGCCGTGGTAGTGTGTGCAAGAACTCAAATTTATATAAGTCAATCTTGAAACTCAACGGCCCCTTCGGATCGAAATATAAGCTTTACGTGATTTGATTAGCTGTCTCACCAACCGAAAATTTTGTATATAATGAAGCTCAAGCTAAGTCACACCCATCACACTTTCTTACTAATATTCATTGCTAAGAGATTACTGCAAACATGGCTCCCAAAGTAGCACCCCAAGGTGCCGCCGCACCCGCCTCCAAGAAGTCTGGCAAGAAGTCAGTTGGGGGCAAGCGCAAGAAGAAACGTACTGAATCATACGCTATCTACATCTACAAGGTGTTGAAGCAGGTCCACCCCGATACCGGAATCTCGTCCAAGGCCATGAGCATCATGAACTCGTTTGTGATCGATGTCTTTGAGCGTGTCGCTGGAGAGGCGAGCAAGCTGGCAAAGTAAGTACATTCTGAAGACTGTCTATTTTTTACCGTACTTAACTTCTATGTTATATCAATCTTGTGCAATGGTATATGATATATCTTCTATTACTCATATCATGTACTCCTCCTTGCTTTGCTCAGGTATAACAAGAAGTCTACCATCTCCTCCAGAGAGATCCAGACTGCCGTTCGTCTGCTTCTCCCCGGAGAGCTGGCCAAGCACGCTGTTTCTGAGGGTACCAAGGCTGTCACCAAGTACACCTCCAACCGATAAATTTGCAGCCACATTGCACTTTACGGTCGAGCGCGGAATCTATATTTAAAACTACCTGGTGCTTATAAGCACCACCCAAGTAACCCAAGAAATACATCGTCACAACTACAGTTAACTTATGATAGGTATGTTGGTATACATGGGCACTTATTATTACTGCGTACCACTCAACGAGCTCATCAGCGTCACTGCAGTTTGGCATCTTGGCAGATATAAGCTTTATTTGTACGCACCGCGTCCTGAACTGCCGTAAGTTGGCCCATAGCGCCGACTTCCATTTTCTGGCACGATGCTAACCACTGACCCGTGTAGAACCCTACGTCGGGAGAACAAGATTCTCTTCTCGAAGAAGACTTGAGCCGATTCATGGTCTTTCTGTAGTGAGAAGGCGTTCCCAATGACGCACCATGCAAGTGCGAGTGAAGTCAAACGTGCAAGTATTCAACACTAAAAATGATCAAGTGGAGTTTCACACTCAATCGTCATGAATAACATCTTTGAATATTGTAGTCAATGATGAAATCTATAAAGCTCCTTGGCGTTCCATGTGACAACGAATTGGGAGCTATAAATGATAGAGCTAGAGGTAAGAGTCCCCTTGACTTGTACGTATGTTTAATACAAAGAATCACCATTTCTTCAAGCTGAGAGGAACGTGATAAACATATGCATCATGTTAACAAATCATACTCGTATAGCAGTGACACCTATTCAACCAAGGCAGTTTGCAAGGGCAATCTCGATCGTGCATGCTGAAACTTGGTACAATGTGTATATTGTTCCTTTCCATTTGGATATACTATCTCCTGTTCTTAATCTTTGGAGTATAATTTAGAAGCCATCCATTTCAAACAGCATAGCTTTTCAACCGTAGCCGCTGTTATGACTGCCTTGTCAAAAGAACCTAGTCAAGCTATGGAAGGTTATCATGACCACTGTAGGCTGTTTTATGATGTATCTCAAGATTCGGACAGATATCTTTGTAGATTGATGAATGGTCTCTACGTTGGTCAATCTGTTTGTGCATACATGGACGCACGTCACACAAAGTAATCCTAAAGAACTAAAATGGTATTTACATGACCGTGTGCTTTCGTGTTGGGGACTCTTGGGGACTTGGGTCTTTGGACTTGGGGTTGCAAACTTGTATCACGGTGACTCACCGTGACTGTCTGTTAAACTCATAACTCATGGGTTTCAGAGTGAGTGACAGTGAGAGCAGACAGTTCTATTGGGAAATTGCCAAATCGGTTACCGGTGTCTGGTGCAATGTGCATGACTGCATAGTGCATGGTGATGATTTGGTTTACAACTCTGCCTCGAAAAGCCCGCCAAAATTCGCACAGACTTTTATACAGCCTGCTGTATTTTTAACTTGAAATAATACAAACTATACTGTACTAAAAAGTGACCTGTTTTGCGTTATATATATTAATAAATATATATTATATGCGAGCTTTGACTGTAACTGCCACCGACTGACGTTCAACCCATTAATGTTATCGGTCTCATCAGAATAGCAACATGCCAAAGACCAGTTCGGGAGCTGAGAAACGAGTATGTCTGAGTTGTGTTGCGTTGTATCCCAAGTTTGCGAGTGAGATTGAAAGTATGCCACACTTTAAAGTCTATATACACACTTGAGTTTGAGTTGAGATGTTTTCTACCTGTGCATACTAAAGTACGAAGTTTTCCGGTACAACCTAGTGTGTATATCGATTTTTATCTGTATTTCCAAGTCTGTGAATGACTTTGGAAGCATAATACCCAGAAAGTTGTGCTATATATGTTTAGTCTCAGTTGTATATTCTAACGTATGCATGCAAACACACATACCTGTATTTCCGACTTTAGATGTATCCCTATCATGGCGTTTATAATGCACTGTTGAACATCTATTCTGTTTGCCGGCGTGGCTGAAGTTTGATGAGGACATATTGCGTCTCAGATATAGCCTGGATGGTCCGCATATTGCGTGTCTTTGTATGAGTATACATTTTTGAAGAGCAAACCAGACTACCTATCCCGGCTTGACCCTTTTCCAGACATGGTTCTAGATGTACAAGCCCATGCACAACCCCCATCGGGATTAAAGCATTCTAGATACATGGTTTTATACTTCAACAAGAGATTGTAAAGATGCCACTCTACTCATACTCGGGGGTTTCTTAGGGTTCATATCATGCATACGTACTAACTAAACCGCACTCCGACCCGTTCCTGCACGTTAGTATACAATTTGTATCGAGTGTTTTAATGCTAGGCGTATTCACAATCAAATTTGTGTACTGCTGTGTCGAGTCTTTATACCTCTGACTTGTGCACAGACGGAATGGATCCTGGTAACCATCCCACCAAGTATCACCTTGACAGTTGTTGCATTGTTCGCGAGGTATACCTATTTCCAGAGCAGACATCTGTTCTACCAACTTCCGAACTTATCTATCTTCGCGCATTTATAATCACCTGTATGCAATTCGTACGCAGTTACAGTTTATGTTTCTTTATAGTTGACTTTTACGTTAGTTCCTATAGTACTACGCAAATACATCGTGCTTTCAATCAGACTCCGTCAAGCATTGTATTTAATTAATAATGCTATTACCATTATCTGTAGCTTCAGTATCATCCTTCTACCTGCAAACACAATCCTACTAACCTCAATACAAACCTCCACGTCGCATAGATCAACTCGATATGGGTTGACACACTTCATGGTGGTACTACTAGCAGTGAAGAATTGCAAGCCACGAGCACATCACTGTGCTTGTTTGCCCACGTACTGAAAAGGCCTAGTCGACTCATACGACATAAGCGTAAACTGCAGAGTGCATACACACAATACATACCTTCCATATCTAGTCAAAACATCGATCAAGCAACCCCAATACATATCTCCGTATCGCGTGTCAGGCGAATATTCAGATTCAACCGACTACTTTGATCGAACCATACCCTATAACAAACCTTCCCATCGCATCATCTCGTCAAATAACACAATATACACTATTCCGCAAATATTCCCTTTCTACCTACGACTCTGATCTAACCACACCCTATAACAAACCTTC